CCCTTCCCATTCCAGACTTACCTTTCCTCTCCTGCAGGACCCTCTTCCTCGTCTCGGCAGCCAGGGGGCGGGGCTATGATGAGAGGGTCCTTACATAGCAGAATGTGCTGCACATTCTGCGGGAGTGACAGCTTCTCCTGCCCTGCCGCCCTTACATTCTGCGGGTGGCTGTGCGGCAGGGAAGGAGCAGGACTATCTGGGGGGGTCCTCTTCTTCCTCACTGGGCCAAGTGACGGAATGCCAGGGCCCGGTCGCAATCGCGACCGATGCTACCCTGGTAGTTCCGCCAGTGGTTCTACATCAGCGTTCTACATCAGAGTGGTTTACAACGTTCTACATTAGAGTTGTTTACAGCGTTCTACATTAGAGTTGTATACAGCGTTCTATATATCAGAGTTGTACAAGCAGTCCCTGGGTTACGGACGTCCGACTTACAGACAATCCATACCTACGAACGGGGTCCACAGTCCTCCTCAATGTACCGGCAGCCGCCGGTACATTGAGGAGAACTGTGGCTGCAGCGGCCTGTGTCCTTTCAAATCCCCGCTGTGCTCCGCTCTTGTGTTGGCGGAGGCAGCTGGGACACAGACGGCTGCATACCGCCGAAGCCCCACGTACCTCCGCTGATGTGCCAGCTGCATCTTCAGCTGTTCCGTTGGCTTCCCCGGTCCGGACGATCCTCCGGTCTCCTTGTCCGGCCGTGTCTCCTCTGCCCCGCCCCCCCCTGCCTACTCTTCATTGCAGGCTGGGAGCCATGCCCAGCCTGCTATTGGATATTGTCAAATGCAATAGCCAATAGCAAGCTGGCTATTGCACCCGCCCACTGTCAGGGAGGATGGTATAGCAATGGATGTCACAGTTTCTTCTGCCGAATCTGCCAGCAGCCCACCAGCTGCAGATTTTAGAAGTCAAATTTTGCTGCCCCAGCTTCTGCAGCGGAAAAAAAATACTGTCCTACCCATCCACATGCTCAGCGCCTAAATGCCAGCTTGGTCAAATTGCTAGCTTTACAGCTGCTGCCTTTCCATCTGGTGGACTCTGCCCCCTTATGTGAGTTTGCAGAATGTGCTGTACCACAGTGGCAGGTTCCCAAACGCCAATTATTTTCACGGAAGGCCATTCCAGCACTGTGCCAGCATGTGGAAGGCAATGTTTTGCACTCGTTGGACAAGGCAGTCCGCAGCAAGGTCCACATTACCGGCGACACGTGGTCTACCAAGCATGATCAGGGACGGTATATTTCCTTCACGGCACACTGGGTAACTCTGCGTGCAGCTGGGAGGGATCCAGGACGGGGCTCCGTGCTGGAGCTTGTTCAACCACCACTCCTCCAAAAAGCTGCTGATGTGAGATCTGTCTGCTCCACCCCCTCCTCTTCATCCTCCACGATAGCCTCCTCTGCAGAATTGTCCGGCGAACCAGCAGTTCCCCGGAAGCGATCCAGGGGCTCAGGCAAAAAAGATACCATGAAGTGCCTGAGCTGGTTTGTCTAGAGGACAGGAGCTACACCGGTGCAGAGATTCTGTCAGCTTTGCAGGGGCAGGCCCAGAGGTGGTTAACACCACGGCATCTGGAGCCGGGAATGGTTGTATGCGACAATGGCAGCAACCTTCTCTCCGCTGTACGCCTGGCATAGTTGACGCATGTACCATGCTTGGCACGCATCCTCAGTTTGGTGGTACAGCATTTCTTAACCAGGTACCCAGGGCTGCACGATCTTCTGAGGCAGACCAGAAAAGTCTGTAGCCATTTCAGGTGGTCATACCCAGCCAGTGTTCGTCTGGCTGAAATTCAACAGGAATTCCACCTGCCCACAAATCATCTGATTTATGGCATGCCCACCAGGTGGAACTCCACTTTGGCAATGCTGCAGCATTTGCAGAAACAGCAGAGGGCCATCAACGAGTACCTGTGTGAATATAGCAGAAGGGCAGGCTCAGGGGACCTTGGCTTTTTTCCCCACGTCAGTGGCTCCTGATAAAGGATGCATGCACTGTACTGTCACCATTTGAGGAGGCAACGAGGATGGTGAGCAGGGACAATGCATGCATCAGTGACACCATCCCTCTTGTGTTCCTGCTGGAGCACACTCTCCGGGGAATTATTGATCTGGCACTTGAGGAAGAACAGCGGTAGGAAGAGGAGGACTTCATTACCTCTCAAGGCCCCCTTTACGCAGACTCCATTCCTGCGGGTCCGCAGATCACACAAGAGGAGGATGAGGATTATGTCAGCCTTGGGGGCATTGAAGCAGAGGATGACATAAGGCAGTCTTCAAGGGAGGGTTTTCTGTCCCCAGAAGCCCAAGGAGTAGTACGTGGCTGGGAGGAGGTAGTGCACGATAGGGTCATTCTCAGTGACCCTGAAGACTCAGAATCTCATGCCTCCTCCAACTTACGCTGCATGGGCTCCCTCATCTTGCAAGGCCTGCTAAAGGACCCCAGGATTCGTGGTATCAAGGAGAGGAGTATAGCAAAAAACAGAAAGCTGGGGTTTTTTGGGCAACCGACTGACAACTTTCAGACCAAACGTTTTTTAGAAAAAATATAATTTTATTTGATATAATTAATTAAAAAAAGGTGAAAGTAATTTCATGCGAGTGAAATTACGAGTCACCAGGGAGCGTGGTAGAATATCTGGTGCTCTGAAGTGTGGTGTAATCAGTAGATGACTCCTCTCTTTCTCTCCCTTTGCCCCCCTCTCTATGCTCCAGTATTTACTATCTTACTGTTTGAGCCGGGCTGGACCACTGGTACGCACACAGACTTCAAGGGTAGGTGATACACTCACCTGTTTATTATACCACTAGATGAGTCTAAGTGGCTGTGTTATAAGTCAAATTATGTTTATATATATCCATATTCTTTTCAAATTGTATAGACAACCTCCCTCTCCTTCTCATGAAGAAGCGCCATTCAGCGCGAAACGTCACGTTGAGAAAACCAAGCTCCTCCAATATTATTCTGTCATGCCAATCATGTCTTTTGTCCAAAAATCATTTTTTGTCTACCATGTTAACCAATCATGTTTTATCTTATAATTTTCTGAGCATAATCTTGTGTATGAAGAACTAAATCATTGTGGAGTGAGCCTATAGGGAAATCATGTTGTCAATTTTATGAAATTACTTTCACCTTTTTTAAATTAATTATATCAAATAAAATTATATTTTTTCTAAAAAACGTTTGGTCTGAAAGTTGTCAGTCGGTTGCCCAAAAAACCCCAGCTTTCTGTTTTTTGCTATACTACTCTCCAGGGGTGCGGCATCCTGTGCCTAGATCCAGGTCATTCCATTTAAAACCAGTATCAAGGAGAGGGATCATTACTGGTTGGCAACCCTTCTTGATCCACGCTACAAGCATAAAGTTGCAGAGCTCATCCTGCCCTCACGAGGGAGCACAGGATGAAACTACTGGAGGACGCTTTGAAGAGAAACCTGTGTAACACCTTTCCAGACACTGGTAGGTTACCAAGTGATCAAAGAGGTGCTTCTGAGGCATCGGTTGGTCAAAGGAAGAGCGGTGGAGAAGGGGGCCGCCTGACTGATGCCTTCAGAAATCTTTTCAGTCCACGGCGCCCAGGGATGTTGACTCTTAGGCACCCATCGCCAGCATCTGCATCATATGGTTCAGGATTACCTAGGGGCAAGAGCAGACCTGGAGACCTTTCCAGCAGATGATCCACTGGCATACTAGATCTTGAGAATGAATCACTGGCCAGAACTTAGCCAATATGCCATGGAGCTACTGGGCTGCCCTGCATCCAGCGTGTTTTCGGAAAGGACGTTCAGTGCTGCTGGAGCTTTTGTGACAGACCAAAGAGTGCATCTGTCCACAGACTCCGTTGACCGGCTGACATTCATCAAAATGAATCAGTCCTGGATCAGCAGAAGATATCAATCCCGATGCTGATGTCAACAAATAGATCGGGAATCTTTGGATAAGTTTGTGGGCGATTATTCCGCCATCTTAAAGTAATGTCCTCGGTGTAGTGCACCACCAACAACCAAGACCCAATTTTTCCGCACCCGCATGTGACAGGTGCATATCATTTGAATTTTTTTGCAGCAGGGTCCAATCCTGCACTGTTCAAGAATAACTCTGAAGGGTTAAGGTGTGAAGGCACTTGCGACACTAAAGGCCCAATATTTGGGTGCACTGACCTGTGTGACAGGTGCATATTATTTGAATCTGTTACAGCAGGGTCCAACCCTGCACTCTTCAAGAATAACTCTGAAGGGTTACGGTGTGAAGGCACTTGCCAACACCAAAGGCCCAATTTTAAAGCACCTGTTGTTACTTTCATTCAACGCCTGCAAAAGAGGCACCAGAATTTATCCCCAAAATCTCTAACCTTGTTTTGAGTGTCCTAAAATGCGACCCCTTCATACAGGCTGCCTCCCCAAGCAGTTGTTTATAAGATTAAAGGAAAACCAATTACCGGCAATTGAAATGTCATTTTTTTTCTTTTTAAATGTCACTTTTTACCACAGCAGGTTCTATACAGCGTACAGATCAGGCGCTTCACAGGCAGTTTATGGGGACCCCCATGCACGATATTTGAAGACATTTTTCATTTTTATTCTTACCCTTTAAGTGATGTAAAAAATCCTTTTTTTTTTCCACCATTAAATCCTGTTCCCTAGTGCAGTACCCGGACCCCATGCCTTTTTTAGGGCCAATAACTTGCATATAAGACCTCTTAAAAGGGGACAATCGTTTCTGAAAGTTCTACCCCCATTGACTTGCATTGAGTTCGAGTTTGAACTTTTCAGACGTTCGAATGTTTGAATATGAACCGAACTCGGGCCTGTTCAGCCCGTCACTGAGGGCATTGCAGGTCTGATACCACAAGGAGACCCAGGACATGTGCATCAAATGTGCAGACCTACCAACAGCAGTGCTTATATCATGTATCCCAGAGACTGCTGTGGGAAAATCTCCCTGCCAGCATTGGGGCCTGTATCCTGTCTATTACAGTCATGAAAAATCAGTCATGTCATGAGAATCTCATTGTTCCTTTTGCATCCACCTATTGAAACATCTAGTGAGGAGGTTTGGTTAATTAGACTCAACAACTGACCTAAAAAAACGTAATTCTAATTCTAGTTTATACTCCTCCCCCCATCTACCACTTCATGTCTTTCTTGTCACACCCAGACCTGGCACTATCATATAGGCAGGTCAAGCAAGCACTTGACGGCGAGGCAGGGGG